CCCGGACCGGGATTTGAACCGGTGACCTTCTTGCTGAGAGGCATCAGCTCTACCAACTGAGCCACCGTGCCGCCCTTTTTTTTTCTCAAAAACCCCAAATAACTTTTTCTACAAAYACTTTTATTCAATTAAAAGCCCAGCATTTAGGAATACGCATCACCGCCTTCTCTCATTTCAGAGTTTTAAGATCGTCTTGTGATGAGAAATGACAAAAATGTAGCCGTTATAGCCAAAACTTGAAATAACTTTATGCGAGATACTGTGATAAAACAAGATGTCACAATGTGAGGGAAAACGACTCTTAGCTACTACCACATAAGATTTTAGCTCAAAATCTGTAAAACTACTGTGGTTTTTCTTGTTGAATGGTGTGGACGAGTTTAGCATTGCTTCCTGTAACTTTCATGCAGTGAGATGGGTGATAATGAAGTCCTGTGATGGAGGTTTCCTCCGATTTTTCAGCTTGAATGATTTGTCTTCCAGAAAATCCACAGGACGTGGCCCCCACTGTGGGCTTCTCCAAGGTCGACCTGAAGCAGGGCAAGTTTGAGGTGACCATCTTTGACCTGGGCGGTGGCAAAAGGATCCGGGGCATCTGGAAGAACTACTACTCGGAGTCGCACGGCGTTGTGTTTGTGGTGGACTCCAGCGACGTCCAGCGGATCCAGGAGACGCGCGAGACCATGACGGAGGTCCTGCAGCACCCCCGCATTGCTGGGAAACCTGTTCTAGTGTGAGTGAGAAACCGAAAACACAGAAAACCTGGGAAGACGACGAACATTCCGTTACTCTTTCTTTTTCTTTTGTTTTGTCCTCTGCTGATGGTGTCCGGTTCATCCGGTGTGTGCTGCATGCTGATTCTCGGAGGCATCTGTTTWATCAGTAATCAGAACACACAACCCAGGCCGAGGAGCAGGGAGATGAAAGTAATATTTTGTGAAATGCAGAGCATTCTAATCAGCGATCAGCACAGTCACATTTCCATAAGATTTCCAGCCGCTGTAACTATCTGCATTACAAAATCTGACTGTGGCAACTGTCCTTGGGACAACTTTTTCTGTTTTCTCAGTGACTGGTTCATGTTTCGTGTTTCAATTCTTTATTCATTTCCTTAAAACAAAACAAATAATTTTAAATACAATATACAATAAAAAGAAAAATATAAAAAGAAAATTGAGAGAAAATAAAATACAAATGTATATNGTCCTTGACACACATGCACAGTAGTGGTAACTGGGGTAGGCCGTGGACGTCACAAGACATTATACAGACAGGCTCTGGTATCATGGCTACCTGACAACAGAGCTCAAAGTGTGGGATCATTTTAAGAAAATGAAAGAGAAACCTGTGTAATATCTGCAGAGCAGAACTTACCTTCCACACCTATTATTTTTAGTTAGCATATAGCTAAAATCTAACCATGGTTATATAATAGCAGCTGCATTCTGACATGATATGCTCCATGTTTTATATTCAGTTAACGTATGATCTGATTAGTCGACTAATCGAAAAAATAATTGGTGATTAATTGATTATAAAAATAATCGTTTGTGGCAGCCCTAATCACAACATATRTTTATATTTACATCTTTATCCTTCCTTTATCCAGAGTGTAGGTGAAAACTAAATATAGCACTAATGTAGCTAAATTAGCAAGGYTATAAACAGCATAAAACAAACAGAGAAATACTGGAGAATAATATGTTTGTATAGCAGTAAAGAGATCACAATGTATTCCCTTTGAATCTTTTGGTCAAACTGTTGGAAATATACAAAAGTTACATATATACGTAACTATAGAACGTTGTTTTAGTGAATGAGTAAAATAGCACACAGCATGGGTGAGCAGTTTGATTGCAAAATTGTGCAGGAGAAGCTCTGAAWATATGTTATGCCATTCATTTGTTCTGAAATGCTTCTAATGCTCTTTGAAACAGATCTGGACAGCAGACAAGTTCTCAGTCTCTTGTACTGAACACGTTGTTAGATTTACAGAAAGCACAAAGCCCTTTTCACTGATGTAAATATGAAATAGCAGTTCACCTGTAACAGTTATACTGCAGATGGTCCTGCTTTTTSTCAGTTGGCCACATAAAACACTTCTACTTTTCTCCTTGTCTCGGGCTTTTCTGAAACACGTGAGTCCTTTCAGAAAATCGGTAGCTGAAACCAGACGAGTGGATTCTTGAGGGAAAGGGAAGCAAATTAAAACACTTCAACGCCAAAGTGCTTCTGGAAGGAGATGGACTTTGATTGATGATATCAAAGTGTGTAGGCATAATGAGGAGGAGACTGATGGCTGAAAGCACCTGCTTAAAGGCACGGCTGCATCTGCTGAGCTCGTCTTTCAGGAGAGAGAGCGTCAATGTTTTTTTTTTAGCTTGTTTTCTTAATTTGTCACAAGAGGGAAAACTGTCAACAAGACACTTTCCTGTTTGGTGACGAGAGGTCTGTTCAGATACAGTAAAGTAAACGAAACAAGGTTTGGACGATGTTGAGCAATTACACTTTTTTTATTCAAGTTAATTTCTAAAATTACAGATTTAATGTAAATAATTACATCTGGGCTGTATGGACTCGCAGTAGTTAGAGCCCAAACTGCTCGGCCTCGGTGATGCCTCCAGAAATTATTTTTTATGGGGTGGCCATGTGGAGAACAATGGACATCCTGGGGTGGCACACCAAAAACAAAAAAACAATAAAATAATTCAAAATAGTGTCATGCTGCTGTTGTAAAATGCAGATTTTGAAAATGTTGGCAATATGTTAGGAAACTGCTGACTGATGTACCTCAATTTCTTATTTTACATGTGATATAACTGAATGTGTGACATGCATAGACCATTTTAATCCAGGAGTGTCAAACTTATTTTAACTTTCGTGTTTAACTTCGACTAAACAAGGAACATCCCGTGCCATGTCTCATTGCTACAGCTTAACATGGCTAACAAACAATAACTGAGCTCTACGTGGTATTTTTTGCATAAGAATAGCATTTTAACATGTTCTCTTATAAAGGCTGAAAAGTATTACATGTATGAATGACCAAATATCCAATAAATAATACAGAAATACTATTAAAAGTAAAAGAAAGACTTTTACTCACTGTTGAGTTGTGATGAGTGCAGTTAGGTCTATTTCTATTTGGACACTGACACAATTATTTTTCTTTTACCTGGTTATTGAACCATATTCAAGTTATAGTTATATAATCAGCGTCCTTGGGTGTCCTGAAAGGCGCTTTATAAATAAAATGCATTATTATTATTATTGTTATTATTGTTATTGTTATTATTATTATTATTATTATTATTATTATTATTATGTACATGGACATGTCCAGACATTCAGCTTTCATTTGAGGGTATCCACATTAAAACTGGATGAAGGGTTTAGGTCAGAGGTGCCCAAAGTGGGGCCCGCGGGCCAAAATTGCCCCCCCGAGCCATTTGATTTGGCCCACCAGCAGTTGTCCTGCTTACTAGATTGTACTGTAATTATGTTAAGATTAAATATAAAATACAAGTATAACTAAAAGAGACATTTAGATTAGATTTAAGCACATATCTAGATTTGCACACCTTATAAGACCACATATATTCAAATTTTAAATTATGAAAAGTCCCATGAGTCTTTGCTGCCCGCGCATACACTGAATTTTCTCCATGTCCATGGGCTGAAAAAAAAACTAAAGAATGTGGGCAACCATACTGGCTGCTATCTTAATCATAAAAAATAAAACAACTTTACTTAAGTATTTACATTTCTTATATTATTGCATTTGGCCCACGGCACTCAGATTGATTTTAATTTTGGCCCTCTCAGGGAAAATGTTTGGGCACCCCTGGTTTAGGAGTTTCAGCTCCTTAAAGGCACAGTGTGTAGGATTTGTTGTTTTCAGCGACATCTAGTGGTTGAGTGGTTGAATCATCCTCCCTGGTCCTCCNAAAAAATCTTATAATATCTGCCCCTTTCCCCCCAAGAATAAGTTCATGTAACAAAAAATTTATGTTATTAACAAAACAAAAGACAAGAACATCTAATCCCTCTATAACAACAATTTATATAGATAAACCTTATACTATTTCGTATTTCTTTAACAATCCAACTTTTATAATTTTCTTAAACGTACACAATGATCCTGCATTTTTTACATCACTCCCCAAATTATTCCATAGATTTATTCCTTGAATTAAAGTACACCGTTCGTTCAAACTAGTAGCCTGGTTTAAACCAGACCCTGTCCTTCACTTTGCTTTGTACAAGGGTCTGGACTTGATGCATAGAGAATCGTTTCTTGCAGGAGGCGTGGCCTCTGCTGAAGCATGTGTGTGTGTCGCTGTGAAGGAGGCTAAGCTAAGAAGGTAACCGGAAATCGCGTGTGCTGTAAACAACCCTACTGAGAGGARARA